AGTCATGCCATTGCAATACTTTTGGTTCTAAATTGCACACATTTGAGCCAAGCTGCACAAAAATCACTATTATCAATCGTCATCCACCCTTTCAACAGGAATCCATGACTATTGGCCAATAGCCTCCACAGCGCCCCCAGAATATTTTAAAACCTCAGCCCCAAGATATTTTTTAACCGATAATTATGAAACTCTGTGAATATCTGTATATTTTCAGGACCTATGAAAAAGTCTCTTGGAGCCCTGGTCCAAACTCAACAGGAAGTCGACCATTTTGGGTCAAAAGGTCAATTTTGGGCGTTTCTAATGGCGCATTTTAATGAACTCCTCCTAGGGATTTTGATGGATTGCCTTGAAACTTGGTTAATATGCCCTTAACGCATTGGGGAATAAAAGTTAGCAAAAGCTTGCGTTCTCATATATGTTAAAGGGGCGTGGCCAGACCTCAAAATTGAGCTTCTCACCATAAATTTCCAAATGCTGTAACTTTCACAATGACAAACAGAATGGCACCAAACTTGGCATGAGTGATCCCTGTTGGATGCCTGACGATCCTCTGTGTCATATTCTGATGTCATCAAAGCCCCGCCCCCTCAGAACAGGAAGTAACTTTTTTACTTGGAATGATCCCTTTCTGACACACTTGACTTAATCAGGATGATCCTGTGTTAGAAGATATTTAACAAGTTGATCTGACTTGCTTTAAAGCGTAAACTGTTTTGCCTGGAGGATGTAGGTTTGGCAGCGTGGTGAATTATGAAGTGATGCCATTGCAATATGTTTGGCTCTAAATTCCAGAGATTTGAGCTTAGGTACACCAAAATCACTATGATCAATCATTATCCACCCCTTGAACAGGTGTCCATGATAAGTGGCCAATAGCCTCCACAGCGCCCCCTACATTATTCATACAGTTATAACTCAGTGATACATCATCTGATCTAGACCAGATTTTTTATAATTCATCAGTGAGTACTTTTAGACACACTGGTATTGTTGATTCATGACTTGACTTAAGCCCAGCCCACTCACAGAAGATACTGATTATTATTGGGTGACTCTTCCAGCTTGGCACTGTGTAAGAGATAAGACTGAAACCGTATTCGCTAACTGTTGATTACCACATATGACATGTTGAAAAGCCTAAAGGAATACTTTTACATTCTCAACAAAACAGGAAGTGACAATAACTCCCATCTGGAAAGTTGGATTTTAGCCAAACTTGTAAGGCTTGCAGCCGGACTCATACTGATATGGGTGGAAGGTGATTGTAAAGTTTAGGCATATGGGCACCCTGGTGGACATGTGCAGGAATGGAATGACAGTGTTCGCGATGGCGACTGGTAGGCGTTGCTGGAGCTCCTGTGGTTGCAGGTGGTGTTGAAGGTTTGGCAAATGCGCACCCTGGTGAACGGGTGCCGGAC